ACCCGCATCAATATTTTAATTTATTTATTTGTGTTACAGCTGCATTTTTTAACACTATCTTATCCCACATTTTTGTTGACTCTACAAGCTCAAGCATTCTACAATTCAAAGAACTAGAACAAATCATTCAACAAATGGGAATGTTGGGAAATTGTCAAAGATTGCCCTAAATACAAAATTGTGGCAACCGGTCTAGAAGTTGTCATGCACATCATGGGTCTACATAGTTTGCCAGAACCAGACACGACCGAACAAGAAGCCGACACATTTGAAGACACGGAAGGGACGCCTGAACAAGTGCCCGAGACCCAACCGACTCGTCAGTCCCTCAGACCTCAAGGTAAAAAGGCATCAAAGAAAAAAGGTAGTTCTTCCAAAAATGACTACACTAAATATATGGAAGAACTTGCTCGCCAGCAGCAATAATAATAACAACTACTGAGGCCCGTGATGCAGCAGCTGAGAGACAAAGAGAAATAGTTAATCGAGAGAACGAGTTGGTTAGACAAGCACTTCATCGAGAAAATGAAATGCTTAGAAAAGAAAGAATAGCTCAAGCAGATCGTGACACTATAAGCAAGTCTTTAGTAGGACTGTCTCCGAATTCAAAATATTTTTGGATATCGGAAAAAATAGATGTCGTGCGAAGGAGGCGTGCAAGAGATGCCGAAACAAGTCAAGGGGGTTCTAGCTACACAAATCATAGCAACCAAGATCCTAGCACCACATATCCTAGCTCCAGAGACTTTGTATAATTTTTATGTAATTTCTTCTTTTTTTTAGAATTTTATTTAATTTCTTATGTAATTTTTATGTTTTTTCTTTTTCTCTTTTGAACTTTATTTAATTTCTTATGTAATTTTTATGTTTTTTCTTTTTCTCTTTTTCTCTTTATTTAATTTCTTATGTAATTTCTATAATTTTTCTTTTGAACTTTATTTAATTTCTTATGTAATTTTTATGTTATTTCTTATTTATTTTTAGAACTTTATTTATTTTTAGTTAATTTATTATGCAATTTTAATGTAATTATTTATTTATTTTTGTACTTTATTTAAACACATGAAATAAGATTACATAAACTCATCAAATAAACTTAAAAACAAAACACATTACATAGAATTACATAAACTTAAAAAAAATACACTTTATTCTTCAACCACAAGCCTCATTTTAATTATCTTCACCTTCTTGCAATCTCCACTGGTGCTTTATTTATTTTTAGTTAATTTATTATGCAATTTTAATGTAATTATTTATTTATTTTTGTACTTTATTTAAACACATGAAATAAGATTACATAAACTCATCAAATAAACTTAAAAACAAAACACATTACATAGAATTACATAAACTTAAAAAAAATACACTTTATTCTTCAACCACAAGCCTCATTTTAATTATCTTCACCTTCTTGCAATCTCCACTGGTGCTCAATCAAGTCATTCTGGCGGGTTATGTGCCAATATGGCTCTTGCAAGTTCGTGTACCGCTGAACGATCAATTCATTGTAACGTCCATCCCGTTCCAACGGGTCATATTGCACGGGATCTTCGGTATTGTCATGAGCACAGTAGATACGTGTTCGTGAGTTGTTGATCGGATCCGGCTCGTATTCATCAACGTCATCATAATCATACTCATCTTCAACAATCATGTTGTGGAGAATAATACATGTCATCATGATGGGTCGAAGAGCCTTGACATCAAACATTCTAGCTGTAGCCCTGACAATCGCCCAACGAGCTTGCAGGATACCAAAACAACGCTCGACATCCTTTCTACATCCTTTTGTGGATGCGGCACTGTTTTGACAAACGTTGACTATCTTGGGTAAATGTCATCTGCAAGGTAGTATGATCCCTCGTATTGGGTACCATTAACCCAATATGTGTATCTCGGCGATTTTCCTTACAACAGTTCATCGAACACTGGGGATTGGGCAAGGACATTTAGGTCATTCTAAGCTCTTGTAACACCAAAAAAAGCATGCCAAATTCATGTATCAAATGAAGCCACCGCTTCCAAAATGATGTTTTTGGCTCATTTTCTGTCGCCATAAGCTTTTTGCCACTCATTTGGACAATTTTTCCAAGTCCAATGCATGCAGTTGATGCTTCCAATCATGCCAGGGAAGCCTTGCATCTCACCCTTCCTCAGAAGCATTCACATGTCCCTTGGCATGGGTGTCTGGAGGTACTAATTGGTGTAGATGGCTTCAATTGCATAGCAAAACCGCATCAGGGACTCCAGAACAATTGTTTTTCCCATCCTCGCGATCTCATCCACTTGATCTGCAGATGCTCCATATGCAAGCATTCGCAAGGCAGCCGTAATTTTTTGCTCGGGAAGAAGACCTATAACATAAAAAACATCATCTTTTTGCACAAAGTATGGATCATGGTTGCAAATAGCACTCATGATTTTGTCGAACAAACTTCGTTGCATTCTAAAACGACGTCTAAAAACATGATCAGGGAATATGCTGTTGGGAATAAAATAATCTTCCAAGAGATCTTTACCTCGTCTTTCCCTTTTTCTATCGAGGTTTGCAGCATGTCTGGGTTTGGCTATCTGACCCACGACTTCCATGACACGACAGGAATGTGAGACACTCTGCCTTTTATGGTGATCATCCTTATCCTCCTTCATGAAGAAAGCCTCATCTCCACCTCCACCTTTCTCGAGATTGGCCAATTCTGCTTGTTATGCCAATAACCTTTTCTGTTGCTCTTGCAACTGTTTATACACTCTCCTTGAAGAAGACATTGTAATAAGAACTCAAGATTTGAAAACGATGAACAAGGATTCTAAGCTAAAAAGAATGATTGAGCTTGGTGTGAGGATGGATGTAGGGATGTAGGGTTTATATGGACAAAAAAAGAAAGGGTGAGGTTTTGGACAATGCCACGTGGCACTACATGATTGGTTGAAAATCTTATTGAAATCTTGGCTAAATTATTGTAAACCGGACGTGACACGTGGCGTGTCGGGATTGGTGGAAAATCTTACCGGAAATCTATCAAAAAAATAGTACGTTCGGATAATGACACATGGCATGACGTGATTGGTTGAAAATCTTATCGAAATCTTGGCTAAATTATTGTAAAACGGAAGTGACACGTGGCGCGTCGGGATTGGTTGAAAATCTTAGCGGAAATCTATTCACAAAATAGTACGTTCGGATAATAACACGTGGCGTGACGAGATTGGTTAAAAATCCTATTTGAAATTAAAACTATTTTTTTTTTATTCTTTTATAAAAAAATTAAAAATATTTAAAATGGGCTGGGTGCCAGCGCATTTTGTAAGGGTGAAGATCTTTTGTGCTAGCGCATTTTTTCACTGGGTGCCAGCGTATTTTTTTAGGGGTGGAGATGCATTGGCCTATTACTATTCATTGGAGTCTATTACTATTCACTGGAGTGGATAAATGGGCTGGGTGCTGGCACAAAGTCCTTAGGGGTGGACTTGTTTTCAGGGCTTTGGAAAACGAAACTCCTAGGCTTCTTCACGTGCACAATTCCAATTCATGGATTCAAGAGACCAACAAGCATCAAAGACTGGAGGCCAAGGAGGGATGCATCGATGCTGCTGACGTGAAAACATCAAAGACTCAAGTTTTTGACCGTAAGGCGTATTTTTCGTAATTTTATTAAGTAATTTCGCACCTCTAGTTGGACATGCCCCACATTCATTAGACAAAAATATTACTCTTATAATATATTTCATAACACATTTGTACATGTCTAATAGCAAAAGAGTGATGTTATTCACACATCCAATTTTAACTCACTCCTACTAATTTTTGGCCATTGATTCGAATGGATTGCAGAAAATCAATAGGCAACAATTAAAAGAAGAGTAATGTTATTCATATCATGTTTTTATACCACATTTCTATACTATCTTAAGTGGTATCCACATTAAATGTCATTTAAGGTGGTATGAAAATATGGTGCAAAAACATTATATGAATAGCATTACTCTTAAAAGAATGTGTGGGATTACAAAAGAGAGTGTGAATCTTTAAATGTGCATTATATATGTGTCTATATTTGTATGAAAATTGTCTAGCGACAATATATAAGTTATACATCATTGCTTGAAGATATAAACAAAAACCTAGATTTACATTTTTTTTTACATCTTTTAATGATGAGGTCCCTTTAATCAGTGAGAAAATTCATTCCGCTATTAAAATATAACTTTCATTTACATTTGTTAGATTATAAAATAGAATGTTATATTGTGCGAGATAAATTTTATTCATTATTCGTGAGATTTGAAATTATATAACGCTTGTTTGGATGTCTTTTTAAAATGATTGAAAGTGTTTGGTAAAAATATTTTTTAAACCAATCCTTAGTAAAAATCCAAGTGGATTCTGAAAAAGCACTTTAAGTGCTTCTTGCAAGAAGCACATATCTAGTGCTTCTTTCAAAAAGCACTTAAAGTGCTTTTACAACTCAAAATCAATTTCACCAAAAACGCTTTCAGTCATTTTAAAAGCACATCCAAATGAACCCATATTCTTTCCACAAAATAAAAGACTAAATACATCTATAGAAAAGAGATAACTGGAAAAAAAACATAGACCCCTTTGTCAAAAAATTTCCTAAATTTATATCCACTGTCAATTGACTCCTAAATTTTAAATTCAGCCAATAATTCCCCTCAATTTTTATTTATCTGTAAATTCCCCCGGCTATTTAATTTTTCTACATTTCTTTGCCACGCGCGGAACTGACGTGGTAACCGGAGTGAGATCTTGCCACGTGCAATTGCTTGCGTGGAAATAAAGTTACCCTGTCCCAATTGAACGTTATCATCTTTAAACCACAGACCATCAGCTTTTCCATAGGAAAGCCGCACGATCATACGCCACCACCAGATGTAATGCTGTCACGGTCAGATGTAAAGCTGTCACAAAACTTAGGTCACTGCCGTGTGAATCTTGCTCGTGTTTCTTTATTTAATATTAAATTAAAAAAAATAAAAATACAACTCTACGATGGCCTTCCCCAACTGCCGAAGCAAAAGGGAAGCAAAAGGGAAAACGTCTTATTTCCGGGGACGAATTATAATATTCCTTTCGATTTTCGCGGAAAATAATTTCACTGTCAAATTTTCCCGGGAAAATCCCAAGCACAGGTTCGTATCTAACCCTTGTTCTCATATCCTTTTAAGAAATATTTTCTTTTACTTTTTTCGTCTTCAAGAATTATGACTATTTCTTGTCCCTTTTCAATTCTTTCGCACAGGTTAATAATTTTCTCTGTGATGGAAGTTTTAGGGTTTATCCTTTGATTTTTAGTGACGAATGTGAATTAATTGCTGTTTTTTTTTTAAATTTTTTTATTCTGCTTCGCGAAGTTAGAGGTTTTGGTGATGGAATTAAATTTGTTGCTGAATTTGTCTGGCTGCTAAGAAAATTAAGAAAATTAATTTTTATTAGTAAAATGTGTTACACTTGAGGGGAAATAATATTCAATGGTTGTTATTCGATACTGATTAGTGTACCAATCACCGTGTTTTGTGTTGATTTTATGTGTATTAGAGGTTGCAATGACAGAAATTATGACTTCTATAGTGCTGATAAGGTGCAAGGTTTTTACTTTAGGCTCTGTAATTTTTGTGTAAGCCTTGATGACAACTAGGAACGAGCATTCGGTTGGTTGGATCAGCCTGACCAACCCGAATCCAACCCGCACTTTGGGAAATTTTGGTAAAGGATAAGTGACTTGAGCAAAAGGGTTATATTTGTTTTTAACCCAAACTAAATGTTCGCAGATAGACATGGGTTGAGAAACTCCAACCCGAGCATATCATGCCTTGTGAAGCAATCTATAGACTTTTGCATGTACTGATTTGAACTTATCGCTTCCTGACTTTTATCTTGTTTGGGTTTGCATGATGCTTGTAATGAAGAGTTATGTTGATGCAAGACATTTAAGTGCACCTTTCGCTTTAATCATGGTATAATGTTGGAATTAGTTCATGTATTATACATCTCTGAATATTTCGCCCGAAATATCACGAGTTAATAGATTAGTATTCGTTATGATATTTGTTTCCTCACTGTTAAATAGTAATGCTTGTACTTTTCACGTGAATTAAAATGCTCCATTTCTTGCAGATTCTCGTTTTCCCTGGATGCTTCTTCCTTACATCCTCAAAGGCTAACAAAATTATAAAGCACGCCCAATTGGCTCAAGTTTAACCATATATTTTGAGACTCTAACTCAATGGGATGGAGGGGCATTTTATGTTCTTCCTTTTTCTTTATATCCCTAGTCGAGTCCTCTAGCAGATTAGGAGAAATGTGGTCACTAAACCTTGGTGCTGAATCATCAGCAGCTTTCAGCTGGCCAGTCCTCAGTGCTAGCATTTTCGTACTTGTTGCTCTTCTTCTCTCCATGTACCTTATCTTTGAGCATTTAGCTGCTTATAATCAGCCAGAGGTCTGATCTTTGTATTCCTCCTGAGAAATTTAGATTGCTTCTATGTCTAAAGATAACTTTGATTCATCTTTTCTGACATTTTTTGTTCTTTTCCTTTTATCTATTTTCAGGAGCAGAAGTTTCTGATTGGTCTCATTTTGATGGTTCCTGTCTATGCACTGGAATCGGTATGACTGTACATTCTGCTGTCACTTTCTTCAGTTGTATGCTAGTTTTTTGCAAAATTCTGTAGAAGTATAATTATTTGTATTTTTATAAATCAACCTTTCATTTTAATATATTGAGAACAGCTTGAGTTTTGTTATTTTTTTTTGGGGGGTGGGGGGGGGGGTGTGGTGAAGTGCTTTTAGATTACTGAGAATACACATACAGTTCAAGGGTAGTTTAAATAGAAGACATTTTATTACTTTACCCTCCTCAATTAGTTAGCAAATAGTTACTGTTTGTACCATACTTGACCAATCCCGAAACTACCGAGCACCGGCCAACGCTATACTGTCAAGGACCCAGAAGAGTTCCCCTCCGACCAGGAGGCCAATCACTACTTGACACGTGTCAAGATTAGAAGCCAATCAGAGCATAGCACGTGTCGACATCAAGAACCAATCATAACATGACACATGTCAATGTGACAAAGCTACAAGTTTTTCTATAAATAGGGGTCATTCCCCCACAATATTGCCTAATGCCATTTGTGTTAAATCATTCACAAGAACTCACTAAATTGAGAGCTTGATCCTTTGTATTTGTGTAAGCCCTTCACTACTAATAAGAACTCCTCTACTCCGTGGACGTAGCCAATCTGGGTGAACCACGTACATCCTGTGTTTGCTTCTCTGTCTCTATTCATTTACGTACTTATCCTCACTAGTGACCGAAGCAACCAAGCGAAGGTCACAAAACCTGACACTTTCTGTTGTACCAAAGTCTTCGCTGATTTTGTGCATCAACATTTGGCGCCGTCTGTGGGAAACGACACTTATTCCTACTCTCTTCAGCTGTGTCAAGCTGGTTTCTATCATTCGTACACTTTCTTTTGATCAGGCATCCCTCTCCAGCATGGGAAACGAAGGAAGCCACAGCACACAGAATGACACCCCCCTTGCACATAGTGCGAAACAACGAAAGAAGGAAGGAAAACGAGTTCTTCTTCAAGCTAAAGTCGATGAGTTGGAAGCTCAGAACAACAAGATAGCAATGAGGAATGAGGTCCTCCAGGAGCAATATGAGAAGCTCTTCGAGACACTTCACGAAGCTAGGCAAGCTCAGACACGCGAGCTTGTTGCCCCCGTGGAAGTCAACCATCAACTAGGTGCCCTCCAACATGGAGGGTCACATGCATTCGACATAGATATCCCTGATAGGGAACAAATTACCCCTCGATTTGATAATCAACATGAGGCTTCTCTTAACCCAGTTGCTTCGACCCGAACCATGAGAAGCGGAGGGAGACACCTCTTTGCTGAAGGGGCAGAAGGATCGAAAGCCGTCTTTCGCGATTGTCGGGATTTCCTGAAGCAACGTCGACAGAATTCCATCCATATAAGCTCAAAGATCAATGACCCAAGGATTTCTGAGAGACTCGGTCCCCTGCCACGGCCCGAGCCGGCCACCAACTTGGGGAAGGTGCAACAAGTCCTAGAGAGACATGAGGGTACAGGGGACTCAGAGGGTGTTCCGACAGACATACCCTGGAAGCCAGTACAGCGAGTCCAGGGAAAAATCACATGCCCTTGATCAAACCTTTCTAATTCCAAGAGGAGATGGAGATTTACGAAAGAAAGCTCCAGTGGCACATAACTCCGCTCAGGACCCCCTTGTCCTACAACTTCTTGAGGAAGTAAACAAGTTGAAGGCTGAACGTCAGGCTGAAATACCTGACTGGAACCAACCCAGGCCTGGCCCTCTTACAAGGAGGAACCTCAACACCCCCCTTCAAGCAAAGACAAAGCAGAAGCTTGGCTTGCAACTTTATACTGGAAAAGAGGACCCGATTGAGCACCTTAACCTCTTTGAGTCCACCATGGCATACCGGATGCACACCGACGAAGAGCGATGTCTTCTCTTCCCCTCCACCTTCTCTGGCGGAGCTCTAAATTGGTATTGTCGTCTTACACCTGAGACGGTAGACTCATTTGAGGAATTGAGGAAACTATTTGTTTCCCAACACATTTTCCAAACCGATCGCTTGCACTCTGCAGATGACCTGTACACTATCCGCCAGAGGCCAGACGAGTCATTACGTATGTATGCTGGCCGCTTCAGCCATGAATACTCCCGGTGTGCCGAGGCAGACGACAAGACTGCCCTCAAAGCCTTCACGGCAAGCCTACGTGATTGTTTCTTTAAATACATGATCAATGCCAATACTTGGAAGACTTACTCTGAGGTGATGGCGCAGGCTTATAACCATGCCTCCGCCGAGGCAAAGACATATCAGGAGAAACCCCCTCACCCAACGCCATGGAGGAAGAACTAGCAATAGCTAAAGTTTGACCGTTGGGAAGATCATCCAATGTTTCTCTAGTACAGGACTCTAACAAAGACCCTGAAGACTCCGACATTGCAGACTCAGACTTAGAGCTAAAGCTAGAAGAGCCCTCATCACTAGAACTTCCAGGCTCTGACATCTACAATAAGAAGAAACAAATTCTATCACTACATGCATGATCAAAACATAAGGAAGTTCCTATATTACCCACATGAAGATGGTGCAAAGCGATGCCGGAACCCTTCTCAATCAGAAAAGCAATCCGTCTTCCACAGTCACTACAAAACAAGCAAATGAAGACCGTGTCAAGCGCCAAAAAAAAAAAAAAAAAAAAAAAAAAAAAAAAAAAAAACAGCTTCATCCAAAAAGCTTCACCCGAAAAGCTTCACCTCCAAAACTTCACCCAAAAAGCTTCATCCAAAAAGTTTCACCCAAAAAGCTTCACCTAAAAAAGCTTCACCCAAAAAAAAAAACTTCACCTCCAAAAAGCTTCACCCAAACAGCTTCACCTAAAAAAGCTTCACCACAAAGCTTCACCTAAAAAGCTTCACCCACAAAGCTTTCACCCAAAAAGCTTCACCTCCAAAACTTCACCCAAAAAAGCTTCATCCAAAAAGTTTCACCCAAAAAGCTTCACCTAAAAAAGCTTCACCCAAAAAAAAAAAAAAAAAAAAAAACTTCACCTCCAAAAAGCTTCACCCAAACAGCTTCACCTAAAAAAGCTTCACCCACAAAGCTTCACCTAAAAAGCTTCACCCACAAAGCTTCACCCAAAAAAACTTCACCCCGAAAAGCTTCACTTAAAAAAGCTTCACCTACACAGCTTCACACCTAAAAAAGCTTCACCTAGAAAGCTCCCTCTACATACTTTCACCTACAAAGCTTCACCATCAAAAGCTTCACCTCGAAAGCTTCATCTACAAAGCTTTATCTACAAAGCTTCACCATCAAAGCTTCACCCAAAAAGCTTCACCTAAAAAAGCTTCACCCAAAAAAAACTTCACCTCCAAAAAGCTTCACCCAAACAGCTTCACCTAAAAAAGCTTCACCCACAAAGCTTCACCTAAAAAGCTTCACCCACAAAGCTTCACCCAAAAACTCCACCCGAAAAGCTTCACTTAAAAAAGCTTCACCTACAAAGCTTCACCTAAAAAAGCTTCACCTAGAAAGCTTCACCTACATAGCTTCACCCAGAAAGCTTCATCTACAAAGCTTCACCATCAAAGCTTCACCTCCAAAGCTTCACCTACAAAGCTTCAACACAAAACCTTGCTCCAAATAAACAAATTTTGTTCACAAAACCCAAGATGCCCTTGAACTTGTACAAAAACACTTGGGTAAACATAAACATTTTTTGTTTTACACCCACAAAGGGCCCAAAATTTTCCTTCTTATTTATTCACTTATATATGTTCCCAAACATATTATAATAGATCCAACAACAAGCCAAAGTCCCAAGTTTCATAATGGACAAAAGTACAAGCAATTCATCAATAATGAAGGTGCTACAAAACTTGGAATCTGCCCCAAAATAGAAATCCAACCCAAGAGACTTTTTCTCTCTCTCCCTCTTCCGCCTCCTTTCATCTATCAAATTTCTGCAACCTCTGCTCTTCTCCAATGGAGCTGAATTTTGGACACCCTATAGTTTTTTTGAGCATATGAACAACTTTCAAGAAGGAACCATTTCTGTTTGAGCGACGGAAATTAAAGTGTTGAAGCTCCAAACATGACAGTCGGATTCTTGCAGATTTCGAAGCTGCTATGATGTTTCGAAGATCTGGAAATATTTAACCATTAGTTCATTCTGAATTTTTGATATGTTATGAAAGAGACGATGAGGCACAACTTCAATGAAGAAAGCATGCTGATCTGAACAATAGAAAATGGAGTTTCGAAGCTCACAACAAATCTGACGGGTTGACAGAAAAATAATAACCAGTCATTCATCATACCTAAATTTCTTGAGTTATACAGCTCCGAGGGATCTCAAATTTGGATATGTTGTAGTTCACAAGCTGAGGAACAACTTCAATGAAGAAAGTATGTTGATCTGAACAAGAGAAAATGGAGTTTCGAAGCTCACAACAAGTCTGACAGGTTGACAGAAAAATGATGAACAGTCACTCATCATACCTGGATTTCTGGAGTTATACTGCTCCGAGGGACCTCAAATTTGGATATGTTGTAGTTCACAAGTTAAGGAACAACTTCGATGAAGAAAGTATGTTGAGATGAACAAGAAAAAATGGAGTTTAGAAGCTCACAACAAGTCTGACGGGTTAACAGAAAATTGATGAACAGTTACTCATCATACCTGAATTTCTGGAGTTGTACTACTCCGATGGATCTCAAATTTGGAGATGTTGTAGTTCACAAGATAAGGAACAACTTTCATGAAGACGACTTTGCGATCAGAGCTATAGAGAATGGTGTTATCTTGCATCCACTCAGGCTGATTAGTGGAAACGAAAAGCAATTCCACCAAAGAAAAGATGAAAAAAGAGAGAAAAGCTACTAATTGCACTTGATCTTGTCTAGTCAATAGCATGCAGCATCAAACACACAAAAGTTGGAAATATTTTTTAGACAAGGCATATGCGAATGTGTGACATCGAAACAAGGATTCGTTACTTTGACAAATTAGTAACAAGCGAGACACCTCATTCGGCAACTCTCTTCGCCTGAAGACTTGGGGGACTCCCACCATATGCTACTGCACCTTGATATACTCGGCAGTCTCACAACCACTCAGTGACTTGGATTTTTCAAGTCTCCAACCGAGAAGTTTTCCTCACTCGGGAAATTAAGGGAACACTACCTCAAACTACATGCTTCACTCACAAAGCTTCAACAATACAGGTTTCAACAAAAGCAAAAATTCAAAGAACTTTATGAAGAAGGCTTTGGTGTATTTTAACACAATATGTTGAAATGAAGCAAAGCTTATTTATTAATATTTTCGATAAGCCACAAATATGTACATATACATGAGTCAAAATAAACAAACAAAAGGGAGCCTTCACAAAGGTTGCTTAGGGGAAGTCTCAGCAGTCGGTAGAGCCCCAGAAAGAGAAAGCACCGGAGGGTGGTTATCCGGAGCCTCAGTACTTGACAAAACCCCAGAAGGAGGAGGCATTGGAGGTTCATCATTTGAAGCTTCATTACCAGGTACAGCCCCAGAGGACGAAGGCAATAAATGCCTTTGGAACAAACCCACAAACCGCTGATGATCAAGTAAAACCTTACCATCAGATTCCTTCATCTGGTCAAGCTTCCTCTTCATGTTTGTAGCATAGTCATGGGCGAGCCGGTGCAACTGCTTATTCTCATGCTTGAGCCCTCTAATCTCCTGTTTGAGACTCATCACTTCAGCAGCCAATGATTCAACTTGGCGGGTTCTAGCAAATAGGCGTTGGGCCATATTAGACACAGAACCTGCACACTGAACACTAAGAGCCAGAGAGTCCTTAACAGCCAACTCATCAGACCGTTTGGAAAGTAGTCTGTTATCTTTGGGAGTGAGAAGGTTCCTGGCCACCACTGCAGCGGTCATATCATTCTTCATCACAGAATCCCCAACGGTAAGAGGACCAGTAGGGGATATGAAGGATGGGCGCCATATGTTGTCTGGAGAAGGCGTGGCTGTCTCTTCCCCTGTTGCAAGTCCCCAACCGAGGAGTTTCCCTCACTCGGGAACTTAGGGGAGCACTGTTTGTACCATACTTGACCAATCCCGAAACTACCGAGCACCGGCCAACGCTATACTGTCAAGGACCCAGAAGAGTTCCCCTCCGACCAGGAGGCCAATCACTACTCGACACGTGTCAAGATTAGAAGCCAATCAGAGCGCAGCACGTGTCGACATCAAGAACCAATCATAACATGACACATGTCAATGTGACAAAGCTACAAGTTTTTCTATAAATAGGGGTCATTCCCCCACAATATTGCCTAATGCCATTTGTGTTAAATCATTCACAAGAACTCACTAAATTGAGAGCTTGATCCTTTGTATTTGTGTAAGCCCTTCACTACTAATAAGAACTCCTCTACTCCGTGGACGTAGCCAATCTGGGTGAACCACGTACATCCTGTGTTTGCTTCTCTGTCTCTATTCATTTACGTACTTATCCTCACTAGTGACCGAAGCAACCAAGCGAAGGTCACAAAACCTGACACTTTCTGTTGTACCAAAGTCTTCGCTGATTTGTGCATCAACAGTTACAAATTTAGTATGAGAATAACAGTTAATGGAATTCTTTTCAAGTAAATAAGTTTGCCATTTGAGTTATGACATGTTATTAGTATAGATATGGAGCTCAAATGACCTCCGGAATGTGCACCAGATTGAGTATTGGCGGGGTCCTCTTTGGAAGGCTACAACTTCAAATGGATGTATAGGAAGAAGTTATGTTTGCTTGTGTGTTATGAAAGAAAAATGGTAGTATGCCAGATATGTTGATAAGTATAGGGATCCAATTGCAATATATTAGTTACGTAATACCAACTTATTACAAAGACAGACTGTGAAGTCAGATGTATTTCATTTCTTTTGCAAGATTATGTTGTTACCTCACTCTGTAAAAAGTGAGTTCTATTTCTGTTACTTGTTAAAACTGGAGATAATTTGGCAATGTATCTTAGACACAGGAATTGCTTTTTGACAGCAAATCCTAGAGTTATGACAGGCATAATATTTATTCATAATTGGTCCTTTGTCTACAGTTGTAAAGATATTCAATATTTGAAGTCTGCTCTTATTGTTGGAAACTGTATCACAAAAGTAATATATCTACATATAGTTGGTCCTTTCGTTTTTCTTGGCATATGTCTGCTTTTAGTCTTTTGAGGTATCCAGTTTGTACTGCTGCTCTTAATTATTAGTATTTAACATTTTGTGGATTAATTAGTTGTTGTGGGTAATAATGCTTTTGGCTGCAGTTTTTGTCACTGTTGGACTCCAATGCGGCCTTCAATTGCGAAGCAATTCGGGACTGCTATGAGGCTTTTGCACTATATTGTTTTGAGAGATACCTGATAGCGTGCTTAGGTATGTAGCCGAAATGTGAATGTTGAATCCTCTGTGATTATCAAGTACTTACCACACATAGTGACATTAATCAGTATCTTTTTTCCTTAGTACTATTCTTGTGTGTGCAATGCACACATTAATGAAAATTTATATGTTGATAAGTTGTTCCTAAGAAAATAACCAAGTTTGTTGAACATGTTTAATAATGTAAACCTGAAACAATTTGCCTCCTTTTTGTGGACATACATTTTTCTATGTAAAGGTGGCGAGGAGAGGACAATTGAATTTATGGAGAGTCAAAGCGTAGTCGACTCGAGCACACCTCTTTTGAAAGAATCTTATGCTTACGGAGTTGTAGAGCATCCTTTCCCACTGAATTGCCTCATAGGAGACTGGCCTCTTGGCTCCGCATTCTACTATGCTGTTAAAATTGGCATCGTTCAGTATGTATGTACTGATTTTCCTGCTGAATTTTTTTTTTATCATTCCATCTCGCACTTGGTGCGATGGCAAGTGCCTTCGCCCATGAGCGGTAGGTCTCGGGTTCGAGACTTGGGAGCAGCCTCTCCATAAATGGGGGTAAGGCTAGCCGACATTCACCTCTCCCAGACCCTGCGTAAAGCGGGAGCCTTGTGCACTGGGTACGACCTTTATTCTATCTCCTTGAAAGTTTTCAGCCTTATTTGGTCTTCTCATTATTTTTCAGATGATACTGAAATTGATCTGCGCTTTGCTAGCAATGATTCTTGAGTCTTTTGGTGTTTATGGAGAGGGGAAATTTGATGGGAGATATGGGTAAGATATTTGCTTCTGTATCATTTAGGTCTGAAAGCTTTTTTGTCTGACCGCTAGTAGCCAATTATTCATGTCTTCTTAGGTGATAGGTTGAGGCCTTATGTATTGATGCTTGATCCACACATGCACACACTTCCACATAATCACTTTCTTGAGGACAAATGTTTGTGCTTGCATAGGATGACTTACTCGCATCTGTAGTTTTTATTACAAGTTTTTTGTAGTGTTGCACTTGTTTCTGCTGTACTTTCCATATATATTGTTCTGAATTAATTTTGTTTGCTTGCAGCTATCCTTACTTGGCAGTTGTTCTAAATTTTAGTCAGACATGGGCCCTATACTGCCTTGTGCAGTTTTACTCTGTTATTAAAGACAAATTACAACCCATTAAACCCTTGGCAAAGTTTCTGACTTTTAAGTCCATTGTGTTCTTGACATGGTGGCAAGGAATCGCTGTTGCATTTCTTTTCTCTATGGGTGCCTTCAAAGGGTCATTGGCTCAGGAGCTGAAAACTCGGATACAAGACTACATCATATGCATAGAGGTGGGTTATGACTAATAACTAATCATTTAAATGTGCTGTTGAATTGTATTATGTTCGGTGTTGCAGAGCTTGAAGACCTGACATATCTTTAACATTTGACATATTAATGCTTGAATTAAATTGAAAGCTTAAATTGAGTTCCGAAAGGAAGAGACATATTAATGAGTTGGACTAATGTTGTGGATGATTAGAAGAAACCCAGGATCTCATTGGAGATCAAGTTTATTCTAGTTGGCTTGTTCTAAGTTGTTCTATTATAAATCAGACTCGACTTAAATTGTAATCATACCATGTTTTTTAAAGCAAAACAAAGGAAAATCCTCTTCTTGTTAACAGTAGCGTAAGCCACAAAAGTTCTTAAAAGAACTAGAGAAATAAAGGTTATCTTTCATAGTAAGGTATAAAAGAGTCTATTGTAGTTATATTTAAACCCCATATATCTGTGGATAGAACACCTTAAACCCTAATTCATTAGTTTCTATCCTTCATTATAAATTTAATCTCACCAGTCCATGATAACCAAGTAAGAACACAAAAAAAACATTATGCTATTAAAGAAGCAGCTACAAGCTGAGTGTGTTTCACAAGACCGGATAATTGTGTACATTAATTTAGCAATTTTTTTTGGGTACAAATTTTCATTGTCTGGATCATCATTTTCTTATAAGAATTTTGAGTCAGTTTTAAACAGTTTTACTCAGTTGAAATAAAATACTATGGTGACTTGAGCATACTAGGCCTATCCCATTTGTGGCCAAATTTAGCTTGAAGTATGACAAATCATGGTGTTTAGCTTGGAGAGCACATCTTACTTAATTTATTTGCGGATACATGGAAAATGGTATTGTGAAAGGATGACTGTAGAATTTGAATACATCTTGAGATTGATTCGTTGTTTCTGTTAATGGTCTATATAGTTAGGGACATTAGTAACTCAGTAGAGCAATAGACATATTAAGTGATTGATTTTATGTTAGTGGTTGTTATATTTCTCTTATCAGTGTTGCTCTTTTCTTAGGTTTTTCTCTTTATACTTTTTTTCTTTATGTTATTTGATCAAAGGTGCGGGGGTCAACCTTAAAAGGGGAAGAGCAAAATTTCAATTTCATTGGGTAAAAAACTATATTATGTACGGAAGTATCTATTTCAGGAACCTCTTGTTAAATTCGAAGATACTTTAGGAATTCAGTAAATTATCAAGGTTATTTCGAAAAATTACTCTACAACTGGTCAGAATTCTATGCGTATGATAGTTTATGATACATGAGCTGAGCATTCTGAGTAGGTCTCCTTTGTGTACATGTATGATGTAAGTTCTGATTGATGTTCAATGCATAGAAGCTTTTTTCCAAATAAGATCCTGAAGTTCAGTGGGGTTTGATTTCGAACTTGTTAAACAGATGGGTGTTGCTGCTGTAGTCCACCTTTATGTGTTTCCAGCTGTACCTTACAAACGTGGAGAAAGATGTGTTCGTAATGTTGCTGTAATGACTGACTATGCATCTCTGGGAGCACCTCCCGATCCAGAAGAGGTACGTGATTGTGAAAGAACAACCAGAGTGCATTTGGCAGTGGCACGGCACGATGAGAGAGAAAAGCGCCTGAATTTCCCCCAGAGTGTTCGTGATGTGATTTTCGGAAGTGGAGAAATTGTGAGTAGTTAATCCTAATATCTTATGCCTTTTCTCTGTTTCATTTAAAACTCATTTCTTCGAATCAATGGTCACTCTGCTGTTTGTTGTTTCAGATGGTGGATGACATGAAGTATACAGTTTCTCATGTGGTAGAACCAGTTGAAAGAGGGATTGCAAAGATAAACAAAACCTTGCATCAGATATCCGAGAATGTGAAACGCCACGAGGAGCAGAGGAAGAGCATCAAGGACGATAGTTATCTGATCCCCTTGAATTCATGGAATAGAGAGTTTTCCGATGCTCACGACAATCTTGTTGGAGGCAGTGCCAGTGACAGTGGCATAACCAGTGGTAGGAGGCAGCAGTCCCAGTCTAAAGCTTCAACATCTCGGACTAGAGCGTGGAGATGATGCTAACAGCTGTATGTAAGACAAACGCTAGAGTAAAATTGTAAATGCTGTCGTGATTTCGGCGTGATTTTTAGAAGACGTCGATATAGTTGGGCTGGCCAGAAGAGTTGGTGGTTTATGGAGCTAACTCGTCGAAGAGGACGAAAAACATTCATGAATTTGGGCATCAAGAAGGATCGTGTTGATCAATCCGTTGATGAGCCGTGGAAAGTAGAGAATGGTGGAGCACTCGATCGACGTACTGACAGAGCTAATGGCACATTCACTGTATTGAACATATCTCTAAGTCTCGAAACAATTTGAATACAACCTACGAAAATATAATTTTAATTTTGGCAGAAGCCGTTGTGGTATGGGACCTTTTCAGACAAACTGTGTTTTGAAAATGAAATTTGATTAGGCCAGTAGCACTATCTTACATATTTTTGGTCGTACTCTTAGTTGAGCAGTTTTGAAACTCGATTTACATCCCACATTGTGAACTCAGTGATGAAATAGATCCCTTACTGCCAATAATGATGCAACGTATTCAAAGTCGATGGCAATAGAGAGTTCCAGAGATAAAATGAGACTAAAATCGAGTTTCTTGGAGCATTGTCGGAAAAAAAAATTAAAAAAGCTGAAAAAAGAAAAATAATGGGCCTTGTCTTTTCTGAGAGGGGAAAAGAAAACCCTATGGGCCTTGCTTGGGAAAGAAATAGGAAAGAAATGGTAGGGTAGATTTGTCTTTGCACCATACAGAATCAGGGAGCTAGGGTTTTGAGCACACCTCTATAAATAACATTGCAAAAACCCCTCAAAACCCATCGCCTTCGTCCGTCGGTCTCTCTTTCTCTGCGCGATTGCGAGTGAGTCTTTTGTGTTTGTTTAGTATATTTGTGTGTGCGGGGGGCAGTGATGATCACCTGAGGAAGTCATGCACCACTCTGATGATTTGATTTCAATCAATCTGTGCTGATAAATTTCTCATACCCAATTCTGCTGAGCCCCTTCCCTTTTTACTTTATTATTTTGTTTTTATTTTTCAAATTTGCGTGCTTTGTGCATTCTCTGCATCCAGATTTGAAATTCAAGGGCATTGTTTTGAAAAAAATGATATGAATTTGAAGAGAGGGACCAAGTGATGGGATCTTTTGATCCAACCATGATGCGGACCGTACAGCTCTTTTGCTTTTGGGGATACAATTTTGGTGTCTGATGGTTCCTTTCTTTAATCCATATCTTTTTCCTGCTAATATATTTTCTGTTTTGTTGTGCATTTTGTACTTGATTCCTGCTGATTTTTTAATTTCAACTCTTTAATTTCATACCAAAACTTAATCAATTCACTCAAAATTGGCCACAAATTTGCATTTCTTTCGACAATACCCGGAAAATATTTCTTTATCCATTCCCATTTAAACCTTTATACCAAACAAGACCTAAACGAGACCAGAAGGTGGTTAACTAGTGAGGGCAATGCTAGGATGATGGGTTGTCTATCCATGTCATTTGTTAAACGACAAATTCTGATTGTCTCATGTGTCCTCTTTCTAGTAGCTATTGGTTAACAATATGTTGTTAAGTTGTTCAGCAATTTGTTTTTGAACTTGGTGTATATAGGCACTCCAAGTTGCCTAGCTTGAGTCTGCGGTAGTGACAAGCTGATGAAATGTGCAGAGCTGAAGATTGTTGTACAACTTTAGGTGAAGAACTTGAATCAAACGAGGGTGTCAAAATAACGGCGGCGATACAAAGGAATTTTATTGATATGAAAAAAAAAAGTTACACCTAACCTAGTCTAGTCAAGGAAACATAATCCTTTACCCTTCTTGAAATAAAAAAATACAAGAAAAAATTGAGGCATACGACCAAAACCTGCCAAAACAAAACTGAAAAAGGATTAGGTAAAAAAGAAAATACACAGCATGAAGAGGATATAAACATGTAGGTCGCCATGCCCAAGAAATCTAAATGCATAAAAAGAAAAAACTTAATAGGAGGGGCATGCCAAATAAGTGAAGACGAAAGTAGCCTTAAATTGGCTAATTTTTAGCAACCGCATTATTTTCTCGAAATGTATGAGAGCAACGAAAAATCATGTGTTGCAACAGGGAAATACAGTTTCTCCAATGAATTTGGAACAACTAAGGAGGACAAAAGAACCAGAAGCAAAACAAGATATCACACTAGAATATTCATTCAAGAACCAATGCCATTGCAAGGATGATAGCATGAAGCTTCGCATAGAAATAAGTATGATGGCCTAAGCTCAGGGATAAACCACCAAGAAAATAACTTGTAGAATAACAGAAAAACCTCACCACAAGCCGCAGGTCCCAGGTTACCTTTAGCAAGGTCATCCATATTCACTTTGACCCAAGGAAAAAAAGGGGGATGCCAAAGAACATGAACTATAGAAGGAGGCGAGATTCCAAGAGAGAGTAAAAGTTGCTTATCCAAAATACCATGTACATGATCAGGAGTGAAAAATCCAACTTACTTTCAAACTTCACTTTATTACGCATCTTTCAAATAGCCAATAATAAGAAAAACCTTGATGATAGCCAAACAATGCAAAGTTGTGGAGAAACTGCTTTGACTCAAAGGCAAGCCATAAATTCGAGAAGAAACCCGTAAACGGAAGAATAATGCCAAATTGAGTAGCAAACCAAAACTAAGCACGTTATACAAATTCACAAAAAAAAAAAATATATGCTTAATAAATTCAAAACTATTGTAACATAGTTGGCATATTGGAACTAGGGCCGGTTTTAACCCAATACTAATTGGGACTCTATCCACGACTCAAAATTAAAAAGGGCACAAATTTTTTTTTGCACATGTATGGTTATATAAAACAAATTTACTCACATTGCCCCGCGTATTCAACTCTTCACCTTTGGCAGGTATTTAATGTGTCTTCCAAGTTCCAAGCCTTCTGTTCATCTTTGACACTTGGTAAATTATTCTCAACCAAAGACCTTCTATTGGTCTTTAAACGTCTTCCAAGGACCAAGTTCCAAGGTCCAAGCCCGAAACCTTTTCTTAGTTCTCTGCTTCGTCTTCGTCTCATAGACTCTCATGTTCGTCTAGTCGTCCACCAAGCACCAAGGCCATCTTCAACCGAAAGGTCTAGAGGGCCAGAGGGTCGAAAATAGCTCGAAAATTGTCTCAAATTGAGGGCCAAGCCAGACGGCTGTGGAATCTGAGAGGGCCCCACAAAATCGGAGAGGGTTGGCCACTTCCAGCCAGTCAGACAGCCCTGGGCTGGCCAGATGTTTATTAAATGTGTTGGATTTCCTGTCGGTTATAACCGACAGTAATACATTTATACTAAATAATATGAATGTATTCCTGTCGGTTACAATCGACAGAAATGCTTTGAATTTTTTTTTTACAGTTTTATTATTATTTTTTATTTACAAAATTTTTCTTATAACTTCTATTTTTCATATTTTTTTAAATTCTATTTTTTTCCTATAACTTTTATTTTACAAAATTTCTTTCATAAATTTTTTAAATTCCATTTTTTCCTATAACTTTTATTTCACAAAATTTGACACATCTCGATCCTAGAATCAAGGCATGCTGGCCGTCACGTGAGCGTGATGTAACCATAAGTGCGGTGCGGAAGCAAAGATAAGAGAATTACGAAAGAATACAAACCAACTACTAGCAAGAATAACCAAATAGCATGCTAGAGTGAGTGAAAGTGTGAGTGCACACATAAACAGAGCTTAAGCAATAGTTGCAGTCAAGTATGACTATAATTAAGTTACAACACCCGCAGGTGAGTCCTACATGTAGAAAGTCAGTCAGAACGCCGAAGCGAAACCTCGTGAGCCACCAACTGCTAACTAGAACCTGGAGGGGCGCAAAACAAAATTGAGTGGGTCAGTAAAACAAAGCTTTTCGAAAACCTTTCATTTAAAACATTTCTAACCCCTCGCTGTAAAACCTGTATACTTTCCCAGAAAATAGCATAATAGCATAATACTTTTCATAAATCTCAAATCATCAATCTTTCTTAAAACCAGAAATTATGCCATGTTAAAACTTTCAAAAACAGAATGAATGATGCATCAATGTAACATGTGAAATGATGAATTAACTGGAGACCCTGCAGTTGGTCCTGTACGGTTAATTCTATAGCTCAACATCCAATCCAACCGGAGTCACCTCGGTGACCTGTACGGCACTACACTGCAGATAGGTCGGAACTACCTGAAGTAGTCTGTACGACATGAATGGTGTAATAATACGCTCTAGTGCTTCTCTCATCAATCATCTGTGTACACAATCTAAGGTCACCTATCAGTCGGAACCCTCTCATGGTCTGTACGACATGCACCTACTTGGATCCAAGGTGAGCGTGCGGTGCGAGGTGAATAATATAAGCACTAACATCATGATTGTAGGTTATGAGCTATCAACATAATATACACATCAACAATGCACATGAATAACATGAAACTCACCTGATACTTACCTGTGCGTCCACAACACCAATTCACATATATATATGCATCAATTATCAATTCATATAATTCATATCATTCATATTATGCATGCATGGCATTTGAAAACGTATTTTCATTCAAACTAAATTTCTAGGAAACATATCAATAGTATATAGGTAATAACAGAAAATACTGCCCACTCACTGGTAAGTCGAAGGGTCGTAGCCCCCGTGACGTCCCTGGATGCGCTCGTCCTCGGGATAGGTATCACCTATATGCGAAATAACTATAAAAACATTATTTTAAAGCATATAACCAACAATTCGTAATAACTTCTCATACGGTGCTCAATTTGGGTATATGAATATACCACAGTGACCTACTCGACGTCATGGACGTCGAGGAATTTTTAGAAAAAATTTCTGATGTGGCACGCGCCCCCACGTGCCGTGGGTGACACGGACACATGCGCGCCCACGCGCGTCTTCTTCCTCGCGAGCTCGTAGGACTGAACTTTCCGGTGGCCGGAAAACTGGGCAATTTTCAATTGCCTTGTTCTCCCTCGTTTCTCAACCATTTTCTTTGAATTTTATATCAATTTGAAGCCCTAAACATGTAGTTTCACGCTATACTACTTTAAGGCTCTAAAAATTACGAAATCTCAGCGGAGAAATCCCAAGAAAACTGGCCAAAGTCGAACCCAGTGATCCCGACGTCCAAAACCTTCAAACGAAGCACTCCGAGCTTCCTTGGGACCTTACTAAGCTCACTACAAGCTTAGAATTCCCTGAAAATCGACATATTACGATTGCATGAATAGTGACATAAAATGGAGGTTCGGGTTTCACGTGATTTCGAAGGTTTCACTTTCTAAAACCAACACCAATCGACTCAGGAGGTTGAAAGGATGAAGATTCATACCTTTTTGGCGTCGATCCGTGAAAGTTCGAGGGTTTTGGGCTTCGTCCGTACGTTCGAGGGTGAGAGAGAGACTGAGAAAGTCGTGAGGGAGGAGAGAGAGAGAGCACGGGGGAAGGAGAGAGAGAGAGAGAGCATGGGGGAAGGAGAGAGAGAGAGGGTTGACTGTATGTGTGTTGTGTGGTCCAACTCAAACCATCACCATCCATAAACCAAAGTCTTTTAATCCCTAACCACACAAAACATACAACCCAATTTTAAATCAACTTATATAATTTTCCAAAAGCTTATGGAAAATGTATATTTAGTCCCAAAAATATATGTCACACATACGTACCTTAGCAAACGTCGAGGGCACTCTCGTCCTTTCACATCCTTAATAATAAAAAAAAATCTCGGGACGGGCTGTGACAAAATTTGTTTCATTTTATTTTAAATTCTATTGTTTTCCTATAGCTTCTATTACACAAAATTTGTTTCGTATTTTTTTTTAATTCTATTTTTTTTCCTATAACTTCCTAAGCCATTATACAACATTAAATTAAATTAAATAACATGAAACAACATTAAACAATATGAAACAACATTAAATAACATTAACCAATATAAAAATTATACAACATAAAAAA